GTGGCCCTTCGGGCAGGTATCGTGCTTTTCGTAGATGGCTACGCGAAGGCCTTTGTAGGTCTTGCTCACTCCATGGCATGGCATGCTGCAAGAGCACCTACCAGCTGCATTCTGACAACTTTGATTTTTTCCGCTGAAAAACGGGTAAGCATCAGCTCTGTGCAGATGTGTTGGAGCCTTGAGCTTCTCAGTGTGTTGGCCTGTTGAAGCTCACCCTCTATCTTCCACGTTGTTCGGAGGTGTCCGATCGGGGAGGACTGGTTGGAGGCCAGAATAGCCCATTCTAGACATGGAACCACAGGAACCTTTTCAAGTGTATCTTGAAAAGCATGGGCATCATGTTCTTTGATCTGTCTCTGGGAGCGATCTAAATCATGGCCCCTGCTCTTCTCAGGTAAGCGTCTCCAAATTGAAATCACCGAACAATCTCAGGGAAGCTCTGAACCTGTCAAGGTGAGCGCGCTACGGGACGCCGGGGAGGACTGGTCCCTCCACGTACTCAGTTGTGCAGCCTGGACTGCTGCAGGGCTTCTGGCTTTCAGTCCTTCATGCCTGTCAACCTTCTTTGCTTACTGTTCGGGCTGTGCTCATGGCTCATGGTGAGGCCTCCATGTAGCCATATCACTTCTGACCTTGGTCATGAGCGATCCCGTCTGGCATCTGGTCTTCCATGGTTTTCCAGCTTCTCCACGGTAATTCCCAAGCCTGCTTCCAGGACTTGCCGTTGCCGCTGTGCTGGCGCTCTTGTCAGAGACGTACCGCCTGGCCTTTCGGACATCATGGCCTCCAATGTCTTTCAATCTCCACACGCAGGGATGTTGTGTAAACAAACCCACAAACCTGCCACATCCTGCAACAGCACAGGGTCATGATGCGTTTAGTGCTTCCGGGTCTGGAGTTGCGTGCAGCCTCTATCTTGCTTATTTATCCTGCAACAAATGCAAGCACCGAAACAGAAGGCTACTCCCACAAAGGGCTTGATGCAAACTTCCATAGATGCATAGCTACCGTTCTGCTGAGGCAGTCTTTTCTGCATTGTCTTACTTGAGCTCGCAGCTTCTCGTGACGAGCTCGGAGCGTCAAAGCAGGTTCAAGCAGCGTTGCATGAAACACATCACACATCCTGATCCTGTGCCGGGACGGGAGGATGAGCGCTGATTTGAGGGGCAAGTACTTACCAATCTCAGGTAGCTGCCCTTCGCCCAGACGTTGTCCGAGCTCTTGCGTCATGGCAGGCCCGTTTCCAGTCCAAGAGTGCCTTTGTCAAAGACATGTTTGGCTTGAGTGGAGCCGAAAGTCGACTTCAGGGAAGTCAACATGCAACATTTAGGAAGTGCTGGGGTTTGCCTCCTGCTATCGAGCCAATCGTCAGGGATTCATCCTGGTGCAGGAAGAATCGAGGCATCCAGCCTGGTCCAGATGTCGGGGTGCCGCCGGGAGACTTGGCCATTGCCAGCACCAGGGCAACCTAGGCAATAGAATCACAGCGAGGCTTGCGACAGGTAGCCGTAGATCCTTGCTCATTGTAAGCATGGACCATGTCAGGGCATGAGAAGTAGCCTGTGTATGGCTGTCTTGTTGGCGCGCTCCGGTTTGGATCCCAGCAGACACTGATGTTACCCTCGATGTCTCCGATCTTGTGCTAGACGTTTGCGTTAGCTTGTTCTGGTAGGGATCCTTGAGGTTGAAGGCGTTGCGTAGCGGTTGCCGCACTTTTTTAGGGCATGTGTTGAAAGTGAGGAGCTGCTGCTCTTCCAAGAGTCAAGTAGGCCCATGAGAACATTAGGACCCCAATAAACAAGGATCACAATCTTTTTTGACATCCCGGTGATCCGACACGCTCTCGCTCTGTGAACCATGTAGTCCGTATGCAAGTGATACATCCTGTTTATGGAACCCACGTTGGTCATGACACCCACGGATGCTTGTGAGGTCAGGATCGCTTGCCTTTGCGGAGCCTGCGCTTGGTGAGCCCCTCCAGCAGAAAAACGGATGGCAGAGGAAGATGACAGGATGATTATGTCTTCTGAACCAGCATGGTGCACCTTACCTTCCCCCCGCAAATTGCGAAGTGAGATCTCAAATCACAGAGGCCCCTCCCATGCAGTGCTGGTGCTGGTGCTGCATTGGTAACAGTGCAGCGCGCTATAGTACAGCTGGTAACAATCATCCTCATTACCATAATCATGATAATCCTCTAGGAAACGCAACAGCCCGCGAGAGCAATGATAAGTAACCAGAGTGGTCATTCAGGTCAAGCTTGCAAAAAGGTGCTGTAAGCTGTAGTCTGGATGGAGCACAAGAATGTGCTTGTGCTCTGTACGAACTTGCTTGAATCTGCACACAGGTATCTGCCCCGAGCCTGGCTTTCATCGCAGGCGTCCGATGTGAGCGGAGTGGATTTTCATTGTTAGGTGGGCTGGAGGCATAGATGATTTTACAGGAATTTATGACCGGTATCAGCACAGGTTGAGGAAGTCCAAGTAGGAATGCAAAGTGGCAGGCTGTGACTGCTTGGAAGAGAGAAATATCCTGCAGGAGTAGCCCTGGCATGTACGTCAGTTGCAATCGCACTCATCATGACAATCAGAAGAAAGGAGCAGTAATGGCAGTGAGACCGGTGGCTTTCAAAGAATCATACAGAAAATCCCTGCATTCCTTCATTGATTTCTCGAGGAGATTGCGTTGCCATGATTCTTATGAAATTCCTATGTGCAAACGCTTGAGCTCGATTCTAAACCCTAAACCCTGACCTAACGCCAATCATAGATTCAGGACAAGCAGGATGAAGCACATTGCCATGATGTGAAGATGGAGAAGGTCCCTGCTTGGGTTAGCGAGCTGGAAAATATCTTTCAACGGACAATTGTAATGATCCCACCCAACCATATCTCAAATGGTGGTCGTTGGCTTATGTTCGGTGTCCCAATCTAGCCAGCACAAGTTATGGTATTGGTACAACGGGACGAGCGTAGCAGAGGATATGGATCTACTTCAGCTCCCACGTCACTGGCGATGTGCATGAGGTGGATCTAAATAATTAAAGGCTGTGCAAGCACCCACCCAGGACAGGTGCCCACAAATGTCCAAACATGTAAAGCCGACAGGCCATTGTAAGCGGGGAAAGGGGGTTTAGCTGCAAATGCGATCGGTCAGGAAACTGTTTGGCATGCAAGCTTCCGGAAAGCCACGTGATGACCACTTGGTGGAAGTCAGCCTAAGGCTTGGAAGAATGGTAAGCCAGGTGTGAGTTTGAGTTGCCATGCAGTGCCTCTGAACAATCAGTAGTCCCCGCGCATGCTCCTTCCAAGTGCATGGGTGAGCTGCTCGACTGCGACATGCGCAATCCTTTCCGCAGCCTTACGGGCTGTTGAAGAGTTTGGGGTACTCAAGTCGAACAGAGGTCCATGGTCGATAGTTCACAGCGCCTGTCCTGATGTGTCCTGTTACTGGTAGAGCATGATGTAGGATAGGTGGACGACAGCAGCGTCCCAAAGAGCCACTAGTTTTTCCATACTTGATCACATCAATCCAGCGCAGCCGTTTAGCTTGTGCCCGGTGCGCCATGTCGAAGAGGAAGACTGTATGCCATGCAAACGCTTCCTCGGGCAACATCAAAGTCTGTTTCGTGGCCGAAGACTACTGCTTTGAGCTGCCTTGAGTTCTTCATGGGTCTGATATCAGGGTAGACCGCGGGTTTGCTTTGGTTTCTGCAAGCGGACTTTTTGACCAGGCTGTCGCCGCCACTCTCCATTTCTAATCTCTAGCAATGAATGAACCTTGCTTCTTGCAGGCGTCCGGGTGAGACCATTCCTCCCCCGTGAGCGTGGAGAGACATGCTGCGTCCATCGCTGAGGAGGGCTCTAGCATCATGCCTCATCCAACAAACACTGAACGCGTGTTGCTGTTCCGGGATCCTGTGCAGAGTGCATGGATTCTGTCATGCCAACTGAAGGTGCAGATGCCAAGCGATACGCAAGTCCAACTGGATGACGGCCTTGAGCTCAGAGCCACGCTACCAAACAGCAGATACTCATCTTGTTTGGTTGCAGCAGGCAGATGTGTATCTAGGATCTTGCTCTTGAGTAGTTCACGAATGCCAGTAGAGGTGCGAGCGTATTCCCAAAGCATATGGAAAGCCATCTGGCAGAATTTTCTGAATTGCATGGAACTCGTGGCGAGCTGCTGGGCCTGTTCCTTCTTTATCAACATGCTTTGCAACCCTCGTGCTTGGGAGGCCAGGAGCAGATGGCATCTGTGCGGGCATTTGACTATGCTTCCTGGTTTGCAACAAGCCGGCTCCCTTTTCTTGCAAGCTTGCTATTCAGATTCAGTTGCATTGCCTTTGTCCCGGAACCATTAGGATCGAGCTTATTGGTCCTGCGACGACAAGCATCGGCAGTGTGCCTCGGTCAACCTACAGCTCGCTACATTCAGCTGCTGTGCTTCATCGCGTCGAAGTGGAAGCCTTCCCCAGGGGGACACAAAACCTTGAGAACTGTGACCAGGTGACAGTCAGCAGACCCTCATGGCTCGGCTCTTACAACAAAACTGTGTCAAGTGCACTTGTAGTGAGGACACCCCTGAGCTAGTCAAGCGGCAGTCTTTCTATGCGAATGTTTACAGTGGTTCCCTCCGTGCCAGGACGAACTGGGTCTGGGCCTCAGGACAAAACGTGACAAAGTGCTCAGTGACATTACCGACAGCTGCGCTCCATGATTGCAATCAAAATTGCGCTGAGTGCTGAGACCGTCCTTTGAACTAGCAGTTGTCACTGTAATGCGGCAATCGTTCCTAGTCTTCGACATTGAGACTAGGCCAGTAGCAGCCCCATCATAATGTTGTCCTCCTTGACGCTGATGCTATGCTCAGACTGGGGGTGTCAGGCTCCATGCTGCCCAGGGCCCAGCCATATTCAAAGGACGACTTCCACCTTCACCAGCAAGGATGACCTTTGGAGAGAGCAGCTGCCCTAAGGTGAGTCTATTCTGGACAATGCCATGGACGGTTTCAACAACTGCCTCTTCGCATACGGCCAGACAGGCTCTGGAAAGACTCACTCTGTCCTTGGCCCGAGCCCCGGAAAGGGCTGTCAAAAGCATTTTCCGCAAGCATCTGAAAAGTTAGACACCTAGGTGCAGATGATCCACCTGAAAATCGAGGACTGCTTCCGCAACTCTGAAGGAAAGCATGGAATCAGGAACGACATGGCCAAGAAGAGAGCCCTTGTCATTGGCTAGGAGAAGTTTACTGACTCATGACTGATACATACTGACGTCTAAAGTACCCCAGGGCCAGCTTCAACGACAACGGTCCATCCTTGGATATTCAGTCCTTCAGCCTTGGAAGCCTATGTTGCTATTGACGTAAAACGTAATAAGTTTAACCGCTGATGCGGGACCGCCTCGAGCTGCAGACCCACGAGCCCTCTTCCAAATCCCGCCAGTCATGTTCTGCAAGTTGATCGAAGCCCCAACCCCCTCCAACACCCTCCAGCCCCCCAAACGCCAAAAGCCTCTGAACCTGGATCTAAACGCTCCAGGCCTCCGGCCTCGGCGGATTATGTCAGCTCAATAGGTATGCCGATTGTCCTCCATAGCATTCATATAGCAGTACGGTACTTACGACTCCCGAGAGAGTTGATCACTATTGAGGCGAATCCTGCTGGAGCTCTTCAAACGGATCGAGACGACGCGCAGCTCCGCAAAAGTGGAGTTCCAGTGCCAGGCGTGGCAGGAACATGCAGAGTTCGATTACTGCTCGATTCAAATGGTAAGAAGGCAGCTCGCGTAATAGCAAGAGTCGTAGTAGGAGGTGGTGGTGGTAGTAGTAGTGGTAGTAGTAGTGGCAGTAGTAGTGGTAGTAGTCGTGGTAGTAGTAGTCGTCGTCGTCGTCGTCGTCGTCGTCGTAGTAGGCCTCTGCCCCCTACTGGACCCACCTTTTCAGTGCATTCAGGATGATCAGGTGGGGGTTGGGGTGGGGGAAGGGTATTTTCGCCGCTACGACAACATACTTGCTGGACCCACTCAGATCGCAAGGGTTGTCCCCTATGATTTTTCAGATAATCAAGTCCCCAAATCTCCAATCGGAAGGGGTGTCCCCTACAATTGTTCAGAGAACCTCAAATCGCAAGGGTTGTCCCCCTAAGATTTTTCAGAGAATCAGGTCCCAAAATCTCAAATCGGAAGGGGTGTCCCCCAAGATTTTTCAGATAATCAAGTCCCCGATCTCAAATCTCAAGGGGTGACCACCCTAAGATTTTTCAGAGAATTATTCCCTCGGTTTTTGTCTCGTCTTCTTGTTCTTTATTTCGGCGGGCGACGGCATCCGAATATCATTTCACTTACAGTCAGGTTAAACTACACATGTGGGGTTTTCCGATCCTTTAAGTTGCTGATGCTTGTGACAGTGATGTCCGTCATCAGACTTGGCTACTTCTGGAAGAGAGGTCCAGGCGGGAGCCGGAGCCAACACCCCGAACCTGGCAGGTGTCCTACCTGGAGATCTACAATGTGACTTGGTGGCAGACCACAATTAAGCTGAGAGCCGAGAGCCTGCGGCTTGGACTCCCATTTGTCGGTATAGGATGAGGACCACACCTCGGCCACGTGCTGTTAGGTACACGTTTGCTTTCCATCGCCGTCATTGTTTGGTTTGGTTCTATGGGATTTGTCAATTTCCCCTGTAGCGAAGGAGCAGATTCGTGACTTGCTTGTGCCTCTGACGGACAAGCCAGCCAAGCTGACAGCACCGCTCCTGCAAGTTGAGCTGGACAGGATTGGGTGAAAGATTCGGTTAGATTGTGACTTGCATTCATCACCTCAGTCAAGGCTTTCAAAAGGTGACAGGCATTGGGTGTCAAGAGTCTTGGATTCAGAGCCTTGGCGTTGGGTCGCCCAGGGAGGGTGGGGGGTTCCATACACGCATCATGGGAGACTTCCGAACCTCAGAAACCGTGGGACCACTACTTGACGTTACATAAGCATTTGAATGCTTTCAATGACATCGTGACCCCATCCTAATGGCACTCCCAGCAGACCTTGGCCTGCCGGTGCCAGATGCTCTTAAGAGGCACAGCCATCAGCTTCTGCATTCCAAAGCGGGAACTTGTGTCATAACATATTAATACTGGGTGAGTCAGGGATGTGTGGAAAGTAAAACGCACACATGGAAACCGGATTTAAGTGAGCTTTTCTGTCCATGGGCCTGAGCTGCTGTCAATCCGGAGGTCCGCCATCACCCGAAGCTCGGAATCTACGTTGCTGGCTTGACGACCAACGCTGCGCCTTGGCTGATACTGCTTTGCACAACACGCGCAGCCGCCTTGCTCCTCAAATTGCAAATGTCATCTAGGTCACCACCTACGAGGAGGTGCAAAGCATCCTTGACTTTGGTGCCAAATCGCGCAGCGTCCCTCGTGGTTGCAAGGGCAGTGTTGGCGCAAGTGGTTTCAATGAAGTGTGCTTTGTTGGGCTAGCTAGGTTGCCTATGACTGGAAGTAGTGGTCCTAGCTAGCGAATCAGTTGCATTCCAGGCTAGGCGAGGGAATAGGGTTAGGATAGTCCGAGGTTGCGGCAACGCAAATGTGCCTCGGAAGCAGGTACTGCAGGTGTTGCGTGATGGCTGTTCTCAAAATTCGCAGGCAATGCTTTGCAGCAGCAATACTGCAGGCCCATGACAGCCAAGGAATTCGGCCTCCTCGCGGTCTCACTGCATCTTCAACTTCGTGCTCTTGAAGCGCGAAGTTGCAGATGGTGTTGATTCGGAGCAGCGTGCAAGCACCTGGAGCTGAATCAGCGCATAAACCATATGATCCCAGTAGGAAGCAAGAAGGTACCGAGAGTGTGACACTGGCATGTTCAGCTCTTTGTGCCTGCTTGACATGAAGCCTCGGAGATGAGCGCCGAGGTGTCAACTTGGTCGATCTTGCAGGCGCTGGTGGGTCGGGTGGAGAGAGTTTTATTTAGCACCAGAACCAGCATTTTGAGACGTGCGCCCACTGCGATCCGTGTATTCCGTCATGCCTTCCTGCCCTGTAGCGTGCCACATATGCCACACTCGTACTGTTGACACTAGGAATCCTGCATGACCTCAATTTACTGTAGTCCCATTGTTCGCAAGGTATTAGGTACTTAAGGTTTACGGTCATGCAGGATTTCTAGTATCCACCATAGCACTACCATAGCGTTCCATTCCACTATTCCCTACTACCAGGGAGCCATAGCCAGAGGCTCCGAGCGGCAGAAGAAAACCGGCGCCAGCGGGAGCCTCCTCAAGGAGGGTGCCATGATCAACCAGCTTCTCAGCTCCAATAGGGTTTATATATGTTTATATACAGGAGTGACAAATGAGTATAATTAAACCAAGAATGGAGAATCAAATGGGAAAGAACATGGAACATGATATGGAAACTGAGATTATATTAGAGGTGCCCTAAACCCTAAAGCTGGGGACAGAAAACAATGTGTCTGATTCTCATGTACTGTGCACAACGAAGGAAACGGGTGACAGCCAGGAAACCAGACAGATGTGAAAGAAGTAGGCAGACTCTAAGAAGAGGAGACCGAAAGATTAAGACAACACGGGCAGATCAGATTCGCAAGCAGTGGTAGCTGGAGATACCTCAGGCTTAAGGCTCCAGCTGGGCAGGTGGGCATCAAAATGTGCTCCCTCCAAATGGTGCTGTGTTTCAGAATTGGCAATGCTGCACAACCTATCCAGCCAGTTTAAGAACTCAGAGCTCAGGCCGTTGGAAGAAGGGTTTTTGCTAGTTGCGCACAGGTCCGCAGTTGAAGTGTTGTAGGTCAGGGTGAGCTCTGTTTTGAGGTCTCTTTCAAATTTGGCTTTGGTCATCAACAAGCTGGCCGCCTCTGGACGGGACGACGGCAAAGCTGATTTCGTGCCCTTCCGCAACTCCAAGCTCACGCACATTCTGCAGCTTGGATGGAGCTATAAAGAGCATCCGATGCTTCCACAGGACTTCGATGGGCATGCTTTGTACTCTCCCCGTGCAGCAAGCCCCCGTCACCTATACCATCCTACACCCCGGCTTGACCAGAGATCTAGGTGCTGAGTCGATTACGAAACCCCTTAGGCAGGAATCCTTGAGTGGCAACTCCAAGACGGTGATGATCGCTGCACTATCACCCGCGCTGTCCAACTTCGATGAGACGCTCAGCACTCTCAAGTTTGCCAGGGCCTCAGCTGGCCCGGCCTAAGCCAGCAAGTGAGGTGTTGGCAGCAAGTAAGTTAGAAGAGCACCACAAGTTGCTTACCATGTCTAGTCCGGCAGTTGAGACCATGCTTGGCCGCCCCCGCCTGCCTAGCGTTCTCCAACATACCATGATGAATATGATGAATGTTTGTCATTCATTTGCCAGGCCCAGACCTGCAAGAACGTTGCAACCAAGGCGGTGAGGAATCAGGCCACCTTCGAACTCTATGGGTTGGGGTTGTCGCTCAAAAAGCCAGTAGTAGAGGAGCAAATGGTTAACTGATGTGAAGCTCTGATTGCTGTGTGCTGCACAGACATCTCAAACTTCCTTGCTGCAAGTCAAACCATGGGGCTTGTAGCCGGCTTAGGAAGCCGTTTCGCAACAGAGGCTTGCAACAAGCGGAGAATGCGCGCTGGCCCCCTTTGCAAAAACCCTCCGAAGGGCAACTAAAGTGATTGCCCACAGCCTCGAAACATTCCACGATGAGTGGTTTGAAACAGCAGAGCACAACAACAGCTTGCAGGGCCACCGTATTTGCACAAGCTTGTGATGCAGAGCCATAAGGATCCCATTATTTGTAAGGGACCCCAGACGCAGTCCCAGCATCGGGAATTCCAGGCTTGCGGTTGATGGTTGGCGGTGTACTTACTGCGTTTTCGTTTCGACTTGGAATGTGTTATGAGTTTAGTAGGAGCAGGAGGAGAAGGACTAGCAACTTTAGGATGCCAAAGAACAGGACTAGCAGAAGGAGGGGGTCCCAATCGCACAATAAGAACACTTACATCATGTATCTCGCCGTCGTACTATGAGTCATGCGTTCTTCTGAATTTACTCTCATAGCTCTGCCCAACCGCAATTTTGCCGGGCTGGTTCTAGTTGGACACCAGCCGGAGTACGCGTTGAGAGGAATGGCTGAAGTTCTGAACTGCTTCACGAAAGGCAATGCCTGGATCCAACTTATCGCCAGACTTGATCAAGATCGCTATGAACAGTTGCAATAAACGCCCCTTTGGCTATCAGCATTGTTGGGCGTGCCATGAGTACAACCCAACAAATAACATTTCTCAACAGCCCTCCTATAAAAGTGGCAGCTGCATTTTATATGTGCTCCAAAGATTTGTTATGATGATGACAGTCCCTGTGGAAGCTTCTTGCACGAGCGTCTACAGCTTCTCCGTTGTCAGGAGAGTTCTGCCAGCATCGCCGAGGAGCTAACAGCAGAGATCGCCAGGCAAGCAACTTGAATTGACCGGGTGGTAATGGATTATAGTACGGTTATAGGGTCTGAGGCTCTGACTTGGATCATTTCTGAATTGTTTTACATGGCACGCTGGTCCTCAACAAAGTGGAGTCAGACATGCGAACATGTATGCTGCTGCTTTCCGTCCTGCCGCATTCTTGACTCCTACGCTTGCATGTCATAGCGATTGAAAAAACAATTCCTGGCCTACGTCTTACTCCTACATCAGCCCTCTACGATAGTTGTACCCTTACCTCGTGTGGGTTTCTCGTGTTTTTGGTCTGTTTCCCGCCAAAAGCGAGAATCGATTGTTGGCCTGCGGGATCCTTACATCGCCTTGCCATTCTTCTTTCGCCCTAACATGAACGTGCACGTAGAGCAGGTTGAAAGAGCAGCTGGCTGCCCAAAACGACAGCCCGAGTCTCAGGGCAGTTTGTCAACCCGGGACAAATAAGATTCTGACTCTTACCTTTATCTCGAGGTACCTGAAAGAGCCTTACAAATGGCGGCCCGCAGTTTTAGAAAGATGCGCCAGTGGTAAATGCCTTCAAGTTTCACCCCATGAGGCAAATCAGCCATCAGCCTTCAATGGTAAAGCCTCATTTGGAAAAACATACTTCTTCACAATGAAATCTGAAGGCTCGTGGGAGTGGTAATGTGGGATCCTTGTTTGTGTGACATTCGTGCGCTAGACCCCCCACCCCTCCCCAAACAAAATGGGGTCCCTATTGAAGAGGGGAAAGCCAACCCCGCCCCCAAGATCCTCCCACCAGATCTGGGTGGTCATTGAACTAATTCAAAGGGAGGAGCGTTGCGGACTCCGTAACTGTTTCAAATTTTTTAATAGGAGGGTGCGGAACTCAGGAGTTGTGGATGTGCCAGGCAGTCCAGAAAGATACAGACTTGTTCTCAACTGATTCCTGCTGGACCACCTTTGAAATGATCGCGTGGCCACTTCGGACAGCAGCTTCATAAGAAATGGTTCTGGACGTAGCCTGAAGCTTGAAATCCTGAGGCTTGACATCTTGAGGCAAACTGGACAGGTCCAACGCCCTCCCCACCTCTGTGCAAACATGCAAGAAGATATTCGCACAAGAAGCCCTTCCACTGATGTCAAAATCCTGTTTACGGAAAGCGCTGGACCGAACCCTGCCTCTGGCTGGAGCTGAGGCCATCTCCAGCAGCAACTTTACGATACGGAGCAGCTGCTTGCCAAGATGGAGAAGGCAGGATTCTTATGGCCTGTGGGTGGCTTTGGGGAATCCTTGCTGATGTTTCCTGACGATGGCAAGGGTGTAGATGCAAGAGTGCTGGCAGACCTAGGCAACAACCAGTCAATAATCACCGTTAGTCCCTCCGTGAGCAGCAGGTGCTTTCCCTCCACTAGACACACTTGCAGATCTGCCATTTCATTATTCATTATCAGACGTGATGGAATATGGAGATGGGTCTTTGATAGGATGTGGCATCAGCTAGGATAGCTTCCGTCTTTTAAAGGTTGACCCGCTGATTTGTTGATGTTTTCTCTTGGGGGGGATCACAAAGACTTCGCTTTGGGCTTGCGATCATTCCGCATATGCTTCGCGAACTTTTGCCTTTCCAGCTACAGCTGACATTTTTTGCGCATACATTGCTGGGTCCATGAGATTGGCTACCTTAGGCCCTGTATGCAGCTTCTGCAGGACTACCATGCCCAGATTCTGGAGGCAAAGGAGATGGCAGCTTTGCGAAACCAGGCGCCTGCATAAAATCCGGGACTTCTAGGGTTTGGGGCTTTCAGGTTATTTCCGTTCAGGTTATTCCCGGCGGTGCGATGCAGGTCTTGGGAAGCAGGTTCCACTCTTTGCCTCACACGCAGCTCTGGCTCACGCATCAACGCTAGTAGCAGCTGTAGTGTGAGATAAAGCCCAAGCTTACAGTCCCAGGCCCTGTCCGACATGGGCTTAAGCCTTGCGGAGATCTCCGGTGCTTTAGGCATGGTCTTTTGGCTGAACTGGCACTGTTTCTTGATGCTATTCCTTCGTGTAGTTGCTCTACGAAGTACTCTGCTGTAGCTTACTTAGTTTCCGCCATTCTCGGGCTCGGTTTTCGATGTCGTTGCCAAGGGGGCTCTTGTGTGCTGTTGGGGCAAGTTTAGAAGTCATCGCCCATTCAAATGTCCTGTCCCTAACATGACTACTGCAACATCTTGCAATATTCAAAAATGCACTGATTTCGGGATGCATCGACTCTGCTTCAATCATTCTACCCTCGATCCGCTTAGTCGTTCTCGCCAGTCAGAGCAAGCGACAACCCAAGGATCGGAATGTACCGCAACTGGTGAACCTGTCGGACGATGCCTCCTTGACAGGCTGATGGGGTTCAGCGACCATCGTTGTCTACTGTGTTTGCACAGATGACGCAGAGTGAGAGCACTGGAGCACTAGTATGACTAATTATCACAAACATTGCCATCATTGTCATTGTAGCAGTCATTGTGGTCATCGCCGTCGTCTAGCAGCACTTTACGCTGGGCAGCAGGGGAAGGGGCAGGGAGGTGGTGGAGGCAGCCTTAAACCGCATGGCAGCAACCGCAAAGTATTCGCATTGCTTTCACACCTGTTTATTGCGATGGGTAATCGCAAAGCCGGCCGAATTACTTGAAGAGTGCTCTGCTTGGCGCGCATGCGAATGTCAGCGTTCTGGTTCCCGGAAACGCCCCTGGTCCCGAAGCGTCAAACCATGTCAGGCATCCTGCTGCCAAACTTGCAAAACGGCAACTGCGCGTCGTACCGCTCGCTTTGGACTAGGCTTCCTTCAGTTGTGAAGCAGGCCAGCACCCAGATTCGCCAATCTATGCGGGATCCCTCGCATCAACAACCAACACATGTTATGAGTTATGAGCACAGTATATGCTGGCCCGAACAAACCGAAAGAGTGCTCCATATGCATGTTTCAATCGTCGTGCAGTCTCGCGCTAGCACGTTCTGCCGACTCAGTACGGAGAGCAGGACGAGGAGGAATAGGAGCGCGAGAAGTAGTGGATGCAGTGGATGCGGATGGAGTTAAGCCCTGCGCTTCGGATGGGCTTCTGGTTTTGGGCATGCTTGGGCAATCCAATTGGTTCATTTTGAAAGCTTGTCGTTCGACCGGTAGGGTGCTTTCAATTTCTGACCTGGAGCTAAACATGCTCAATGCGGCTGAGGATGCTTGGTGTACTTCGTGCCTGAAGGAGAGCCGACGAGCATTGGCACGGACAAGAGCTGCCCCTGAACTGGGCATTAGTTTGAAGATCTAGCTGCCTTGACAACACAGCTTCTCGTATGCTGGGTTCGAAGTCCTTGAACTTGAAATTAGCTAGCTCGCCCATGAATGAGCCAGACTCGACAATGAGATAACCTGGCAGCCGACGTGCTTCTGGCACATTATCTTTGATTTCATGGATCATTGCAGCCGAGAAGATACCCAGGGGAACGCCACCTGTATGTTCAATCAGAGTATATCAGAGATGCTTTTGCCATGCTCATCTTGGAAATTGTTCACTGAGGGGTAGTGGCGATTCTATAGTCCACCAAAGTGCTTTGGAACGGTCTTCCACTTGATTCTTTTTGGATGTGGGAGGTCTCATGCTTGGTGTCGTGGGGGTTGTGGTGGTTGTGGTGCTGGCCGGTGGTGGCGGCGGCGGCCTCGGCGGCGGCGGTCTCGTTGGCGGGGGCGTTGCCCCGACGGCGGTGATGGAGGTGGAGGAGGTTGTGGCGGCAGCGGCGGGGCGCTGACACCTATGGCACACGCAAGTTGTCCCGTCGATTGATGCCTTTTTCAGATGTCAGCCGCTCTTTCTTGCCCAAGATTCTGCTGATGGGATAGTGCTGGATAGCGAAATGACCATGGAGCATGGTGTCAGGAATATTATTGCGCTGTCGGCCGCAACTGTCTGTAGCCCTGCTCTTGTTTTGGTCTGCTTCACTCTTTACGTTTTTCTCCACGCTCGCCTTGGGGTTGTTACGTTTTCACCGGCTGACTCACCACATGTCTCCTCACCCAGTTGCCCACCTTTCCTGGGGTGCACCCAGTGTCCCGACGGTACCCGACCCAGCATTTTTCGAGAGTTGTCCCATAAGTATAGGTATCCTTCCCCCGATCTAGCTCGTTTGTGTTGGCATGCCGTGCCACCAAGACTGATTACATGTTCACGTTGCAGTTGGCGTATTGAATCGTTTTTCCATTTACAAGACTAAAGCTGCATGCTTTTCTTTGCTTGTGCCTGTAGTTGTCCCAGTCCAAGGCACCATTGTGCTCCAGGGTGTCGGCATGCAGCCGTACATGTGCTGGTAGCTCAGTTGTTGGTCAGAAGTCAGCTGCCAGCTCCTCCATCTTCAATGCTAGTACTGGAAGTTGTTGTTGTTGCGGTGGTTGCCATGACCGCTATCATAGTACTGTGGTATTGGAGTGTTAGCAGCAGCAGGATGAGGAGTAGTAGTAGCAGCAGTAGCAGTAGCAGCGGCGGCGGCGGTGGTGGTTCATTGTAGTGGTGGTGTTAGCGTTAGTGGTGGCAGTAGTGGCAGCAACAGTAGCAGTAGTACTAGCAGTAGCAGTAGCAGCAGAAGAAGAAGTAGAGGTATATGACCCCGGTACGTCATACTGTAGGACGCATTCTGTAGTTAAGTTCTAAGTGGTCTACAGCGAGGGTTCGTCTAGGATCGACAAAAACTTGCGCAGCCGAGCGAGAGCGACAGAGAGAGAGCCACCTTAGTCTTGGGCCCGATAGCCGGGGCGTGGGATGGTGCACGTGACCGAACTCTGTGCGCGCCTGCTTGGGGCCTTGCCCCAGCCCTTCCCTTTCCGGGGTTTATAGCAGTGAGAACAAGAAGAGAGTGCCTCTGATGTCCCTGGCTGTGCACTTGTTCTACCGAGATGGACAGGAATGCGGGTGAGCCATGCAGATGTCTGGCTGGTGCACAGAACCCATTCTGGGGGTCCCAATCAGGATGTTGCAGACCATCGGGAGGAAGCCGTGGGCGATGTGTACCGCGGATCCTGTTTTTTTTTGGACTTCCGTTGGGTGGGGGAGCGTACTACGATTTGCCTTTCAGGTGAGGGAACAAGGTGGGGTTTTGTCTCAATAGCTCACTGGTGCAACCCAGTTGCCTACGCTCGACGAGGCATGTTGAGCAACGGCTCTTTGGAGTTGGCGGAAGGCAACTTCATAGTTCATTACATGTATAATTTATATAAAAGCAGAGCGTTTTCTCGTTACAGTCTGAGCATGGATGCTTCGGAAACCAGATGGTCTTGGGAATGGACGTTATTTTATTGTTTGGGCATGGATGCGGGGGTGACCGCATTTCTCGGAGATGGATGTGATTAGATGCTCTGGTGACCGTATGCTCTCCGGATTGACGTAAATGATTCTGATTTAGGCATTGGTGCTATGGAATCTAGATGCTCGGTGCTGCAGAGCTGCAAGAGAGCCAGTGACTCCTCCAGATGCGTGGCCAGGCCCACTGAAGGCCGCATCCCAGCTCAACGCATGACGTTTGGCCAGCTTTTGCCACCTGAACTGAATCCAGAGGCTGCGTCGACCAGTGTCGACCGCAAGAACATATCAAGAAATAAGATGCATTCAAGAACACATCAAGCGCAACATCACGTAAATAAATCACCGGAGCCGGCGGTGCCACTACTACCTGCCACTATCACTGTTGCGATGTCAAGGATGTTGAGGACGAGAACAAGAGCTACTGCGCTGACTGCTGCTCTTGCTGTGCTACTGCTAGTACTACTCCTCCTCCTGCTCCTCCTTCTACTATACTTCTCCAGCTTCTACTACTACCACTGCGTCGGGCAGTCAGCAGCGCCAGGACTGCTGCCTGCAGCTGCTACAAGCAAGCAAATTGAGATGGCTACTTTTCCTGCTATTTGGGCCAGAATGATTAAATGGCATGCTTGACGTTGCGTACCAGCTAAACAACTTATCATGCCCAGACTTGATCAGCTTCATGTGCCCGAGGCTCGCTGCAGAAGCTGGGATGCAGCCATGTGGTTGCTGTCCAGGGTTTGCGCTTTAATGAAAGGGCCTGGTACATAGGGTTCTGAGAGGTTGCCACTTACAATCGTGCCGCGAAATCTAAGTGCAGTACTTGTACTGCTTCAGGAAGCTGCACCCTGCATGTGGAAGCCCGGGAACCTTCAACTAGTCCGTGATGTGTCTCAGAAACCATGAATTTTCTTTGGCATGCCTGGGTCGAAGTTGCTCGCACCCTTCAAGTGCAACCTGATAGGAATGAGGGCAACCGCGTGGTGACTCTGCAGCTTCTGGATGTTGCTGGAGCGGCCCTGCAGGAACCTCCCATGGCAGTAGCTCAGCAGAAGGTAGAAAAGGGTGTGCTGCAGTAGCTTCAGAAGCCAGAAACATATTCCTGCAACCTCTCTGCGCAGTCGGCATGATCTTTTTCAGCTTTTTAGGTTAAGACCACCCACTCCGTTTGTTCCCTTTGGGCTCACGACGTCAATCTTTGCTGCTGACATTTCTGATACCACATGGACAGCTTCCAACTGAGGATCCCCTACCTGAAGTTACAAAGCAGTATCAATAGGACTTGTAATGTTGACAGTAACCCACCTGCCTGGATAATTCTTGGGTTCTGTGGCTGTTGTGATTTTTGGTGGCATCTTGTAGCTTTTTCGGACAGCGCGGTGCCCTCAACATGATTGAAGTTCCGAAATGAGGTTCCTCTGGCGCGGCAAGCCGGGCAACCGGGTCGCGCTGCCGGGATGAAACAAAACATGCTGTTTAAATCAGCGTGAGGATGATGCTTAGATCCGTTGGGTAAGTAGTCGCTCGTGTTGCTGGTTTTGACCAGACTACTGTCTGGACTCAGCACCACGATCCTTAGGTTAAGGCTAGCTCCGCAGAAGACGCATACTGTGCTTTGTGTGGCATCTCGCCCAAGGTTCTGGTGAACGGGCAGAAGCCAAAGCAGGCGAGAATGGCCTTGAAGCATCAGGAGCGCCTACCTGGTGGCTATCTCTCTACGGGCAGAATGCGCATGTGGCGCTACAACGAAAACAAGCATCAAAATCGGGTCTAGCTTCCGTGAGGGACATGTCTGCAGTTTGTGCAGATGTACATACATATATGGCTACATATATGCGTGTCAGTTGTATATTCATATATGACTTGCAGAGCTGCAATCCTCTCCTTGCTGACCTGCGAGTGCAGAGTACAGCATGAGTTTGGTTGCCGCATCGTTCCGTCCATGCTCAGCTCAGACAGAGCAGTGCGCACAGATATGAAAAATCCAATCTTGGTACCGCTCCTTTGTCTGCCGCGACATACACTAGCATAGAATAGAATACATGTAGAGGAAAGATTTGAGAAGCCACAAGTCATAAAGCTGAGCCCAAGCCTGTTGTAAACTGCTTCAGCCATGCGGGCCCTGTCGCCCGCTCCACCTTCGCGGGTGTTAGCGTGGCTACACCGCTGCCATGCGGAGACGACTCAGGCTGCTGAAGAACATGCTGGGGTTGTAGAGCTTTGCACCCTCGGGGGCAGTGCATTTATTCACAGTTGCAAACGCTGACCCCTTTGGCCCAATGTTGCTAGGCATGCTGCCATGCAGATCTCTTGTCACGGATTGTCCACTTGTTTCACCCTGCAGGGGTCGTCATCCCTCGATTTGGACGAGAAGCTTCTTGCGACACGGCCAGCGCCGCTCCAAGGTGGACTTGAGAATTACGATTTCTGCCTGTGAGGACTTCTAGGAATTTCTTTGATCATCAATCCCTTGAATGAGCGCATGTGGCGTACGCTGAAGCTCAAGGAAATTTCCACCCCACAGCGCAGTGTCTTCTTCTTTGATCAACATACCTTCTGTAGATAATCCGGAGATGCTTCGCAAACAGGAGTCCGCAATTGTGTGGCACATCTTGCGAACCCTGCAAATTCGTGCCGACACTCACATACCAAGATCCATGATTGTTCTTGCCCGCTGTATTCAGTGTAGTATGCGTTTCTCTACAGGACATAAATTCCTGAAACCTCCTCAAAAGGCTTTAATCCCCAATCAATTTGATAAACTCCCTGATCCTAAATCCTAAATCCTAATCAATCCCTGGTCTCCAAATCTGGACCCCTAGATGCCCTGGATCCAACTCACTGCTTCCTAAACCTCCCTAAACCAGACCAGCCAAGTGGTGCGTAGGCGGCCCAGAGCTTTCTCGTTCTGAAGCAGAGCGCAGGGTCGCTCTCAGTCAGATCCTGCAGCGGGCTGTGAACAGCCAGGTGGGCACTCCTCTAGAGATTCTACCAATGATGATGGACGTCAAATGACGTCAATGTAAGGGCTCTCTGATGAGGGCCAGCATGCAGAACAGATGGTCCAGGTCCAGCCAGAGCTCGCCATTTTCTTTGCATCTTTGGTTTCTTGGGCTTCTTCGAGTCCATTGCTTCGGGAAAACAATATGGGTAGTAGATCTATTCCTTTCGCCAATGGCTTACAGCATGTCCACCTCCATGTTGTCTTGCGTGAATCCAGAGCAAGCTTTGCAAAGTGGCGACAGGAGTTGCACGGAGATGGTGGTCGTTCTAGTCTGCAAAGGCCGGATGGCCTACTGCTTACATGCAAAGGATGAGGGGTCAGCGCTCTTCTGCTTTTTCAGGGGCAAGGCTATTGCGTGCTGGAGTGACGGCGTGAACATTCAGGAAGTTTGCATAAGGTTGCAGTAAAGAACAGTGTTCGAGCTCGCATCAGCGCACGCTCCATGTTGGACGCATTTCCACAGATGCCTCACAGGAACCCAGACGGCGAGGCCTTGTTGCTGGACGCCTCTTCGCTGCATCTCCATAGCAGGCTTGCCCCCATTTTTTTGGACAACTATCTCACCAAGGCGAAAGAGATCAAAAATCTCAATAGAAACAATGACAGCAGCAACCTGTGATGGCAGCAGCCGTGACAGCCGGATTTCTCTGCCACCACCGCACCACTGCCACCACCACCGCCAAAAGCACCAAATAGCCGGAATACCGGCAATTGCATGGTGGCAAGTTCTGGAGCCGGCCTTGGGGTACAGGAGCGAGTCCAGTGCAGTAACCATCAAGCAGCCTTTCACTTTGACATGCATGAGGTCTTAGACCATCGGCAATTCTGCACCTCCGTAAGGAAGGGAACATCCTCTTCACGGCTGATGGCTACGATGTTTCAAGTCCTTTGATCCCGCTCCTTTTTGCAGACGTCACGCACGCTCCGGTGAGGACAGACGGGGTCGACCCAATGTGCACGAGCAAAGGGTGCCATATGTGCTCGTCTGCAACTGAGCAGGAAGAAGGTGGCCTTCTGCAGAAGCGAGCCGGCGTCACACGTAGCTGCTACGACTGAACAAGCTCCAACACGGGGTCTGCAGCAGCATTTGTGCCTTCTGAAAGCTAATTCTTATAGGAATCCAGCAAGCCTGGACATTTGGCGAAGTTTAAGGCTTCTTTTGGTGTGGCTGAACCCTTCGAACTCGAAGATGGTCTCCTGATCAGTTGAAGGCTCTCACAGGCTACCGGGGTAAAGGTCATTTTCTGGGTTGTGTCAAGTCATTTCGCAGGCGGAGAGTGGTTGTAGCGGTATCTGTGCTAGTGGGATTTTCTGCTTTTCTAGTGTGTGTAGTTCATAGTCATAGATTTGATCACAGGGCAAGGCTGTAACAACTTTTGCTACAGCAGCAGCTTCAAACTCTTCAGGCTGCTCTGTTTTAATCAGGGGATGTACGATGGAAGTCTTGCGCAGCTTCCCCCGCACCTCGCAGAGCGTGCGTTTCTTCGCTCTAATCCCGTGCGAAAGTGGGGAGGCGCGCCTTCACGCATCGCGTGACTTAACCCCTCCGCCTACATAGCGGGTGTCCTGTCAGGACAGAAGTTTTGCAAAGAGAGGGATCCAAGCCTGAGGTTCTTATTGCACCTCGGCGAAGTGCAGAGTTGGCGCAAGATCCTGAGGGCTGCCAGCAGGTTTGGCTGCCCCGTGGCTGAACAAGATGCAGCCTGTTGAATTAATTGCTTATTGGTTTCAACTCATCAGCCAGTTCCCTTGGATGGTATTTGGCATTAGAAGCCCACGCACTGCACTTTGAAAAGATTCGGCGTACTCTGCCAATGCGATACAGGCTCTGCCTGGGCAAGTGCACAGACGCAGACCTGCAGCTTGTCGGCACTCAACAATACGACTAATAGCTGATAGAATTCGATAGTTCAAATTGTGCCCCATAGTTGAAGCGCCGCATAGCTATCAGGGTGTCGACGCAATAGTAGAAAAGCACTGGCACGCCTTGATGGCATGTGCTTTCGTTTCATTTCGATGCAATGGGGTTGAATGGCCGCAGCTCATTGTCCTGGATAGGAAGCAGCCAGAAATTGCAAGGTGAGGAGTCTCAAATGCTGACAGCCTGACAGACTGAATCATATTCAGAAATCTGTTTCTTCAGACAGGCTGCGTGAGCTGCATTAACCAAGTTATATGCAGGACTTCATCCGACATGAATCTGAGGAGCGCCTTCCTTTTTCATCTTAGCAGACGTGGAGCTCTCCGGTGGGATGTTAAACAATGCTACAGCATCAACAGGCGCTTCCACCAGTGCGCAGGGCTGTCCAAAATGGTATTCATGACCGCTTCACTTGGGTGCGTGCTTGACAGTTGAGAGGTCCTTAGCTGGAGGCTTTTGGAAAAGATGATTTGCTGCTCCCGTATTTTCATGATGACTTTGTGCTGTTGATGACGGTCATGATACTTCTACAAGGATGTAAAAAGATAGGTCCATGTCTGAAAGGCGCTGCCGTGGGATTGGCGGGCAGGGCGCAGTCCCTTGGACTTGAACTGGCGTAATCTTGGGTTCATAGCCCCAATACAACCCCTATATACCCCTTATACAACCCTGTAGAACTTTTCAGAACGCCGGTATTTTGAAGCGGACCCCTGGATGGCTCTAGGAACTTGCTGGTCAGGTGTTCACCGGAACTGCACGCACACCAACAGGAGATCTTCAAGATCCGAGGCCTTGGGAAGCGCACTTGTTCTGCGATTGTTATAAGGATCCTTCGTAGGCAGGAGGCTCCATGCTTAGTATTGCGTAAAGGGAAAGTGGCGCATGGAATTTCGCTTTGGCCAGGATAATGCGCGAAATCCGAGGGCAGCTGACGCTGCCAGGCTCCTCACGTCCATATTCCTTCCAGGGAAGCACAACAACTGGGGACAGCAGCTTTCCAAACTAGTGTCTTCAAATCTAAATGCCAGGTGTGCACGACCTTGACCAGGCGGCCGTGAAGGCAACCAGGATGCAGTACAGTTGAATGATAACCGTTTCTTGTTTGGTTCTTGCTGATTCGTGGCACGGCTGCAGAGTCAGCTTCGCCTCTAGAAGCCACCATGGCCTTAGGTTTGGGGCAATGGATCGATGGCAGCGTTTCGTGCGGAAGTAGGCCACTTGCAAAAGATGTCCCTGGCATGCACTAGCCAGTGGTCCACCCGAGCGCTTTCTTGAGGGAACAAGAGACTGTTAACGTGGCTGCTTGGCAGAATAGATCCATACATGCATTGACGTGCATCCGCCTCTTCCATTGCCAAACGGCTGATTGTGTGAGCTGACAGTCTTGTCGATATATGCAGCCAATAAGAGTCGCCCCACCTTAAGCTTTGGTGTTCTTTTTGTGTGGTTTCGGTGAGGGCGAGGCCTCACAGAAGGTTGCAGTGCGGCCCATGAAAGCTCGGCGCTGCAGCTGGTTCAAGCTGAGGTGCGGGCATCCCAACATCAGCAGTTTGCTTGGAGTGTTGCCCGGCTGCAAACATGAAGTCAATTCTTCATGCTGCGGGTCCACACTTGTATGCAACTGTCCGCACTTCTGGGCAGTTGCTCTGCAAAGTACATGTTGGACAGATCCGCATGTGCCCCTGCGGTAGGGCAACTAGAGTAACTAGAGGCTTGCCCCTATGGTCCTGTCACTTGTGTGCACGGCACAATTCCTGCATTCACATGGGATTTCTCCGCGGTTGAGCTTCCTCATTGTGCTGAGATTCTGTGAGCTGGGTGAAGATTCTGCTCAGAGGCCGCAGTGGGTCTGGGCCTCAGTTCGCTTCTGTCTGAGTGAGCACAGGGCTGCAAAAGTTTACCATTTCCAAAATTCATACGGAGGAGGACACGAACCACACCTAGGCACAAACATAAAGACCGCACATGGGTCCTATTATTTACTTTGCCTAACACCAAGGACAAGCGAAGACAACCAAACACTGGGAAGATTTTGGCTCTGAGCCATCCAAACTGCAATCCTGCTTTGCTTCCTGTTGGACTCCACCGAACAGTAATTTCATTGATGACACGGAGCATATGACAAGTCATGCGTCTGCATGCGTGTCCCGATGCAAGCTCCAGCCCTACTTCCCATTCCACCATATTCCCCTACTTCCCGCTAGACGTTTCTATCAGGAACTGTCAGAACCAGCAGCCTACGGCTCTTCCTGCTCCTGATCATGCCTGTTACCACAGTCCAGTTCAGACGCGGGTCATGTATTCCAGACGCAGATTAACAAGATATGATTCGCGATAGCTAGCACTGAGGCGTAGGCAATCTTGACATGACCGTTCCAACGCTAATAGGCCCGAGTGTTAAGAGGTAAGGCGGTTACGGGTTACCCCTGAAAATTCCTTATGCAAGCCCATGGTAAAGACACCTTGCCACAAACCACGCCCACGCATGCAGGTCATGGTGATGGAGTTATGTCCTGGTGGTGATCTGCGCCTCGGAGGAACCCTTCTTCTTATCTTTCTGGCCTCCCCACCCCGCCCCAGCTCGAATGAAAATAATGAACCTCCGCTCCCAGCCCAAAAATGCCGTTTGGATATTCTGCGTCTAGCATCTACCATACGTTGACTGGCGAATCAACAGCTCATAGGTTAGGTACTGGCCTCTCGCTGATTGTAGAAGCATCACAGAATGTAAGAAGTTGGTATTGTGGAATGAGAATGTTGTGGATGAAATGATTAAAAGCCGTCGTTCGGACACGCGAGGGCTCCCCCTTCTGAATTCAACTCGCAAGGAACCCCATAGCCTTTCGGACCTCCTGTCACCTGCCTGGACACTATTTGGCCGTCTCTGCCCCCAGCCCAAAGGTTTGACCTCGTCTCCGACGGCGTGCCTCAATCAGCATCAGCATTCAAGTTTGTGTCGGGGGGGTTCATATGCCAAGGTATGAGCCAGGCACGTAGCAGGCAAGGATCGCGTCGGTTTTTGATTGGCATGCTTTGCTCACTTGCATTGCCCTTGCGTGCCTTACGTTGAAAATTCTACGCAATGTCGGCAGCTATCCCAGATTTCAGTCTAGGTTTCTCGCTCTAAGGCTACCAAATTTTCTTGTGTGGTTGTGATGGCTTGGTCGTGCAGAGAGTCGCTTGCACTGCGAGAGCTGGAAACCGTTTGTCGTCTTCGGTTAGAAGAGTAGGGAAGCAAGGCAGCAAGGCATACCAGATGCTGGATTCCTACCCCTGGAACTCCTACCATACTCTGCAACGAGTGGTCGGTTCCGGTAATCTACTCGCTGGTGTGCCAGTGCTCGAGGTTATTCCGCAGGAGAATGTGCTGCAGATCATGGTCGGTGTCTTTTCCGCCCTGACCTACGTGCCCCTTGGCATTGCCAAACAAGATTTCACATCCCAGTATAGTTGTGCCATGTCTTGTGGTATGCCGACCTGTAGTGCTCGCGCTGCGCAACTAGTTCCGTTAGCTAATTTGCCAGACCGCCTCATGGTCGAGGGGCCACGCTACACAGTGGCGGTTTGAGCCATTCCGTGATTCATGGAAACTCATGCTGGCAGATGATCTTTTTGCTTGTGAATGTTTAATCGCGTTGGAGGCATGCCAACAACATTGTGCACCGGGCGCCTTGGCCACCTTATGTTTCTAGCTGCCTAGCTGCTGACCAGGAGCGTTAATAAGTAGGTCTGGCTGTTTGTAAGCTGCTGATTTTCAGCACAGCCTATGCGTTTGGAGCGGATGAAGTCTGTGACAGTAACGCCAAGACAGCGCGGGCTGCGCTTTCCCAATTCCGACTAAAGAGTCTTGCTTCATCTAATGTCTGTCAAGCAACCAATGCGTGCAGGATGTGAAGGCTGAGAATGTGGTCCTCCATGGGGAGCGGGCAGTGCTCATTGACTTTGGAATCGCTGCTGGGGCTGAAGCTTCTGTGGGCCTAAGGGGGCGTTTGGACCAAAGCAAGGCTCAGGTCCGTTTTTTGGGAAGGTCTTAGAAGACAGGATGTCCAGGATCTTGATTGCATCTTTTTGTTTCATGGCCTATGTGAGGAAACCTGATTTAATGACTTATGCTTTTTTGGCAGCAGAGGTGCGAGGAGGCCGTGAACTTTGCGGTTGGTATATTCTCTAATCAAGGTCTTGTACGGAGATGGTGATCTAATACTCCTCATTCACAAGCCCTTTGCTTCAATCACGGGTCATGGGCAGGCCCAGATTTTGTTATTTATTGTGATGCAACGGCTGACATTTCCCAGGCTTTCAACAGGGCAGGGTGGAGCCTTCCTGCTGTCCAAGGCCTGCCGTATGGAAGAAGCGGAGGAGATGCGACGAAGGTGCTTCCTGCTACTTAAAAAAAGGCGCTGTTCGCACTTAGTCCTAAGTCCCCCAGACCCCTTTGTAGGGAATATTCTATTGTGCAGCCCCTTGCTTGCGATCATTGTGCTTTTTAGGCCTCAGCCCCGGACGCAGCTTTCTGATGAGATTTGAGGAGTTGCTCTCAAGAGTTCTGGGGTAGAATATGTAGTTGCCTGGTAGCAAGCTTTGTCTCAGGAGTCTCAATTTGAGATGTAGGGCTGCTGCATGAAACTGAAAGAAGGACGGTTCAGCTGCGTGCGAATTACGCGATCCTGTGGGGTTTGCAATGGCTGCTATGGAACCTGCATCGCATGCTTCCAACTCTACGATTTCCTTTCTTTCAGTCTTCTGAAGCATGTCTTGCTTCGCCGACATTGGAAGAGCAAGACAAGCCTTGTACTTGTATTCTCTAGTCTGAGGCTTCGTGCAACTGGGCATAGCATCAATGATTCTGGGCCTCAACTGCTACGCCTACAACTCAAAGATCCGCGTGTTCTGCAAGCTAAGCAGCAGCTATGACTTAAGCACCTTGCACTGCCTCGTGATACTGATATTGCTGCCCCAGCCTTGCCTTCTTGTCAACTCTGTAAATTCACCCCTGTAACTTTCCGAAGCCGTTGGTTTTGCCTAACTTTCTTCACGGGAGCTTGAAATTGCCCGTGCTCCAACCCCACATCAATGCATATCAATGCTTGATCATGCCTGGCCCGCAGGGTCGGTTCCCCCGGCTACGTGGCACCCGAGATTATTCGGGGCAAGCGATACAACGAGCTCGCAGCTTGGACCCAAAACTTGTTTTCTCCCCGCACTCCTACCATCAGGGCATGGCGGCACCTCATGTCTTCCAGAACAGGCGGAGTCCAAGCGCATGTAGCTCGTTGAACCACGCCTTCCTTTAAGCTATAGATTCGTGTGTGTAAGCAGGCCTCAGCAAGTGGCCTGGTGCCGTGATGTCTTTGCTGTTCGCATGTTCCTTGCTACGAGGTTGACATCTTTGCAGCGGGCGTCATCGTCTACTTCATGCTGTGTGGCAGCTCCTAGCTCTGCACGGCGGCTTTAGTCATGTCTTGCTTCGGAAGCCTCTGACTTGAAAGCCACAATCTCTTGTGCAAGAGGGCCTTGCTTACGGTTGCTATCGGTTGATAGTTGATCAAAGATGGATTGAAGGCTCTGAAGTACTCCTCTTCCAGAGCTGTTGATGCCAAGTCGCGCATCGCTCGCTAACCAGTCAGTTTTTCAGGATTGCCGTTCGCAGCAGAACAGCAGGAGACGATTCTCGAGCTTCTTGGATGGCATCAAGGCACCAAACGTGGCCGTTTTTTTAATGAACTGCTGTATTGTATGAAGGTAGTTTACCGCCGCAAGCCATGGCTCTTCAATCTTGAGGAAGACTGTCAAGTGCGATGTGAACTACGGCTTGGAAGCCTTCGGCCGCGTGACGCCGCCGCTGCTAAACATGGTGCGGCAGAGCCTTGGATTTGGTCCAGATTTTTCAGCCCTGGGCGTTTCAGAAAATACCAGCACACGATTAAGAGCAACCCGTTATCAGAGTGCCGATCTGGTAGAGATCTCATATGGGCCTCAAGACTGACTCCAGGATGATCACTCCGAATATCCCAAGTCGACCGAGCGCACGCGTCTGCTTCGTCAACCTAAGCACGATCGCCAGCCGAGCAGTCAGGACACACGCCGCAAGGTTGAGCCAACAAGTTAGAGTTATATGGTTTAGCTGAAGTGATATTCTCATGGAGCTTGCAGGGTGAAAGCAGAGATCCGCAGGTCACATATACATGCGTTTGCTTGCAAGTTTCTTGTATGTGCACGTACGTCTTCAGGGCGGCTCAGGGTGCGCAAGTTCTGGAGAGGGGCGGGGGGAGTGTTTGCCCATTAAACTCTGCGGAGTTCGATGCAGATGTGAACATGTTATGTCTTGAGACTATTCTGGAAGTCTCTTTGCTTCACAGTCTTGCATTCGCATGCTCGGCCGTTGCCACAAGTGCACAACCTTGCAAGCACTCCCTGTACTACTAGTTGATAGTTGCACTGGAAGCAAGTTACACGCAGGCGTGGAAGGTTGGCAAATTGTACCCAAGGGTCGTAATCCGGCATCATTTGTGGGGGAACCTTCTGGAGTAATTCGGAGTCCCTCTTATCAGTACTGGTCAACGCTGCCAATATATCTGCTTTGTACGAGAGTAAACATCGCATTTGGCTACGGCCAGTATTTGTGTAGTCATTTCCTTGTTCCTGACATGGCCACGTGGCCAAGAGAGCTTGGACCGTGCAGGATGTCGGAAGCTTTCCGAATCGCAAAAACTGCTCTGGCAACTTAGCTGAAGGGAGGGACTGCAAGGACTGCATGCAGAGGGATGCCATATACATCGCCTTATTTTGCTGTACAAGTGTAAGGCAGTAAGCAGTACGTGGAGAGGACGTGCAGATTTTTTGTATGCAGGGATTGTATATGGCAACTGCTACATTGGGTTGCTATGGGGATTGCAGGGATCATCAAATGCGTTCTGCTCTACCGAGTATCTTGGAGCTGTTACAGGGGGTCAGTGGAAGGTTGCTGGATTCCAGCTGGTTCCGTTTGAAACTTGTCCTTCTCTTCCGACATCACTCTTGGGACAATCCATGCAGGACCTTTATATGAGCCTTTTGTTGTAGTCAGATGAGCCGCCGCATTCATTAATAAAAGAAGAGCAGAAGAGTATCCAGGTCCGTTTTTTGGGGCATTCCGGACCAGCATTCCCTAGGGGACTAGTTTGAGACCATGTTTTACAAAGCCCACATGCATACTCAAGCATGACAAGCAGGATCATCTGGTTTTGCCGGCATCAGGCCCAAGATAACATGCAAGTTGACAGGGCGAACGAGATAAGGAGCAGTGGATTCTCAGTACCGCATATGCCGCATAAGGACTAGGTCATAAGTAAAAGCTTCGCTCATACCACGTGTAAATGCTTCCTATTCAGATTCAACCCCTTGTCTCAGGAAAGCCTTGACCACACTGGAAGCTTTGAATTTCCGCCGCAAGTGCCGAGCCCCTGTACCAACACCTCAACCTCTGGCTGCTTTGCTGTATTGGGCTGGCCTGACAGCCATTGCTTCTGCGGTTGCCGAATCATTTAGGCAGAATTCTATGGCCAGCATTGTCATTATTTGTACCCATGCTGCGCGACAGGTCTTATGAGCCCCTTCGGGGAGGTCTCAATCATTTGAATTGGGGGGGTCATACTTTCAGACATAGCAATTTGAAAGAACATTTTTTTTGGTATCCGTGAGGCGACCGTCAACTTCCAACAACAACCTTACGCTATGTTCTGGCTTGGAAGTTGTTACCTGCAGTCGTCGTCGACTTCCTGGACATCGTGCGCTATACTCGCGAGGAATGTAGAGGTTCCTGAAGTTAGTCCATTCATAGGCGCAATGGTGATGACTTATACATCTCGTGCAATCCCCGCGTAGCGGACGCACCAGTCCCACAGCCAAAAGGTGAGGACGTCAGTTGTGCTGAGGTCAAGAGACCATTCCTCCCATGGTGCAAGAGTCAACATGTCTGCAATCCTGCTCTCTGCGACTCCGCTGCATTCTGTTGAGCATCCAAACTCACTGGGGATGTTTTTGATACCACAGCCCTAGCAACAGGAGACCCTTGAGCGCGCCTGGCCGCACTCTAACCTGATCATTGGTGATTGCTATTGCTGCCGAAAGATGATAGCCAAATGAGCCTGATGAACGGCTTTGGATCCAAAGTCCAACGCATTGCATCAAGAGTGCTACTTCTGAAAAATCCCCACTCTCCGCTCCAAACCGAGAGATCCAAGAGGCTGTCTGGTACAAGCTCTCTAAGTGGAGCTGATGCCCCAAAAGATGTTTCTGTCGAACCTCTGGAAACACATATTCCCCAAATCAAGATAGCTTACTGGGGGGCAGTAGGGAATAAGGGAATGCAATCCTTATATAATCCCAATATACCATATTCCCTTATTCCCGCAGTAAGGACTCGACCGCTGTCTTGAACTGGGACTTTCGCAGCCAGCCATCCTCCCAGAAAGGCACCCAACCACAACCAGCATGTCCCCCGAAGCAAGGTTCGAAATCCTCAACCCCCAAAACCTGCATCCCATTTCAACTCCCAACAGGGAATCCAAACTTGCGGCTCCCTGACACTTAAGCCCGGTCTCAACCCGCCCAGGGCTTCTATGGAGGGCCCAGAACGCCAAATCAGCTCCTCTTCAGCTTCGCCCACGCGAGTGGGCTCGGCCAGTCCCTGGGATAAGATTTGAGGTTTAGGGCTCGGGATTTAGGGATTTAGGCTTGGGATTTGAGGTTGAGACTGCTTTCCAGAAGTGAGTCCAAGAAGGGTGAAGAGTAGGAACTTCTCAAGGTTCTGGGTGCGCTTTACAAATCTGTATACTGAAGGGTTGCCACTTTTCGGTATACATCCGGCCGCCGTACTGTTGATGAACTCCCGATCTGTCGCAGATGGTTCGGGCAGTAGAAGCTTCGAGCTTCCAATGGCTGGGGTGCCTTGCGCTGCCCAAGTAGCCATTTGTCTTCTCGGGCCCAAAAGAGGCTATAAAGGAACAAGGACGCTCTTCGTCCTGTTGCACTTCAAGTCTCAGTCCACACCCAGGTCAACCTTGTCGTAAAGTTATAAGTGAACCGTGATTGTCGAGAATGTCTGCGCGATGGATCGGTTTAGACGCTTACGGATTTTGGGCCTGGCAGACGACCATCCTTGCAAAACCCTAAAATGAAAGTGCTCTGGAAGAGAGTGGCTTCCACTTCCTCTCCTATCTCCTATCTCCTGATGAAAGGCAACTTACCATGAGTGCAAGCAGGAATGCAAAACCAGATCACCTTTGACAGTTGGATTCAGATGGTTTTCTCGGCACTTTGCACGCTATGTCTTTTGTCACACGGGGCTGCGGGCAAGCTGCAGGTGTTTGGCAACTGCTGCAGGACCGATCTTCTGTTCTGCTTGACAGTTTGTTGCCTTACTTTAACTATCTTATTACCTGCATGTATCCATGACCTCACGCTGCCCCGGACAGTACCCCAACCCAGATTGCATTCTATACTTTCGCCAGATCGGCTCGAGCTCCAAAACAAAAATGAACCTACGTCAATCTAAGCCGGCGAGGAGTTACCCTCAGCTGCGCGCCGAAGCATTCAGCGAATCTCCAATTCGGGATCCTTTACAGCGATGCGGCACCTGGGCTGAGCCTTGCGAAGCTAGGTGGTGCAGTACAGTGATGAGGACTCTCAGCAGAACAGGGAGCAGGAGGTTTTGCTCGGGAAATGTATCCGGAATTGCAGCACTTCTGCCAATCTTAGTATTGAGTACTCGGCTGGCTGTTTGGGGGCAAGTGGTGTCTTGGGAATGGAGACGACTTGCAAAGCTGCCTTCTGTTTGCTGTTCTTCATTAGCTGCAGCGCATGCTTTGACTTCTCAGTTGCAATGCTAGACAGTTGGCCAAATGAGAGGAGTTGTGGTGTAACCGTGTGCCACGTCTTCTTCCTTCATTAAACTTGTGACTGAACGCATACGTTCAGCTCACCTTTGCGAGGCAAATGTGCCACGTCGCTGGGGATCTGCCCAAGGCCAAGATCTGCACCAAACATCACGGTTGAGTCAGTCTCTGCCCTTAGAGATGCAGCTGGCAAGAGGGCCTCGGAAAAACATATTCAGTTCTTGTTGGGCCGGTGCAGCGTGGCAGGTGGCTCTCGCGAAGTTCAAAACATCATCCAATCACTCCGTCTCTCTCACATCAGCGTGGAGCCCAGAATAATGCGCAGCAGCTTGGTTCAGTGACACTGGTTGATATAGAATCACATCTAGCAGGTGAGAATTAGGGTAAGACACGAGCAGCATGAATCGTAATGCTTTGTTGAAGCTGCTGAAGCCACCCGCAGAATCGCTCGGAATCCTCTGATCCGGCGCGCGTGGGCACTCTCCAGCTGGTGCTGGCCTCAGCTGCACCAGTATCATGACGCATGGGAGTCGTGGAAGCAGGTCTACCTTCTGCCTGAGCATTTTCAAATGAGGATCAACCAAGCCCTGATTGCCACTTCATGGTCCTTTGTGTACACCTTTTCTAGTAAACTGCGACCGAGACCCTCCGCTGACACAGCAATTATAGAATAAGCGCCTATCTATTTTGAAGTTGCGCCCCAGTACAGTCAGCAGAACTTCTGACATCGGTTCTCAACTGATGAAAGAATGATGGCGTAAGTTGCTGCAACACCACCTCCGCATCCGACCGACTGCTCTATCCTGATCCCATGTCAGGTGCCTGTTGTGCCTGAGAATTCTCAGGCTGGGCGGGTTGTTGGGCTGTGGCAGCACAAGAGCCGCTTGGGGAGTTTGGCCTCTAGTGATCGACAGAAAACTTTAGAGAGCTTCTTGCGTGAAATGTTTCAGTCAGGGCCGCGAGATTTTGTAGAAGATAAGTGCGCAGGCCTGGCTTGTGAAAACGGTGATTGTTCGGCCAGAGTGGCATTCATCCAGTGATCCTCAGTCCTGCCATTATGAAGCAGCACCTGGATGGCATGGTTTCTTGCGACGATGAAATTTCTCTGGCTGACCAGGATTCGACTGCTGGCGAATCCCAGCAGGTTCAGAAACACGTGCCTGTGGTCAACAGTTGGCTTTGAGGGCTTTGCTGAGCGTCATCAGCCTTGGTGTCTGTTACTTTCGAGAGACAGCCAGGAGATCTTGCCTCGCACATTTTGCTTCTGCACTACTCTGCCTACAGGCTTAGGGGCTGGTTGGTCCAGCAACCCTCAGGAAGTAGAAGCCCTGCAGTTACCATGCAGTTAGCAAATGCTATACAGCTAAGCTGGAGGGCAAGTAAGCCCAGCCCCAGGGGCGTCGGCGCCCGCGGACTGGCAGCCGCCTCATGGTGCCTAGCAGATCCAGCAGCAAGGCACACTCAGACTGCAATAATTAAGGGTCAGTCATGTGGATCCACCACCGCTTTGGAAGGTAGATCTTGCATACTGACTGCCGAGTGGGGCAAACAAGCATGAGCGGGACAATATTTTTCTGTTGATCACACATGCCCATCCTGTGTGGTAGCTTCGTCATCCTGAGGATAGTCACGCCTTTCATTCGTGTGATAACCCACTCATCCTGCAAGTACAGCGGCCTACTAGAATATCTTGCATACCTTGCTTCTTGTATGGAAGCCCGGCGATCAGTACACGATCGTCTTGGTACTCTTGTTCTTGGCCGTTTTGCGATTTGTCATCGCTTTTGTATCATCATTACAACGAACATTGCTCACGCTAGTTTGGATGATGTTTACGTTTCATGACATCACTA